TCTGATTTCCAACTCCTCTGTTGGCATCCGCGTGGTTGTTCATACTTGTGCTGAAGTGGTAGATGCAAACTCGAATTTAAAGTGAGTTAATGTTTACCTACGTCGTTTGAGCTACCGCGTCTAAAAGAACATATCCCAATTTGGATTAAAGTTATATCTCCGGCATTTTCCGAAACGTCGCGCGCACATCTGCTCATTGTTTAACGGTTGTATTTACTATATCCTAGGAGTACATACATAAAGTCAATCAGATGACAGTGACTTTCTTCAGGAATACTTGGAGGATTCCGCGGATTGGGCAGACCTATCTGTTCGACGTTGTTTGTTCGACATGTTTACTTCGAACTAACTCAGGCTAACCGGTGACCTTCCTCAGGAATACCTGGAGGATTCCGCAGATTGGGTAGACCTATCCGTTTGAGGTTCGTTCGACATGTTGACTTCGAACTTACTTACCTTCTTCAGGAATACCCCTTACATCCTTCCTGCCACCCAGAAACCTCAGGACACGCATTATGCGGCAGGACACTACAGTATGTCTTCATTTCTTGGTAAGGGCCCGGTGCTAATAACATTGATTAGCGTTGCTGGTTGTCGCACACCCACTGCCATTGTTTTCAAGTGCAGAATAGAGATTACGCCTGACTTCTTTGACTCGGAGGTCTGCTTGATGGTGCGTGTTCATCTCCCACTTTACTTTCGTGTATTGATGTATCCACAGGTTGATACCGATACCAACGGTGTAAGTGTACTAATAGTACGTCAGCTGCCTTCATTCCTTCTTGCAAGAGCTCATCCGGTCCTCGCTTAGCTGACCGATGTCCGATCGACCCTCTTCCCATCGCGTCATCGATCCACAAACTCATCAACCTCTCCTTCTCTAGCTCGCCTAGATGGTGATGATTCAGACCCAAGCTATGCTCATAGCTTCCTTCAAACCCCCAGTTATTACTTCCAGTTAGCAAAACTTGTCAACGACACCGAACTACACTGGCTAAAGGTCAGTATGCTACTGTCAAATAATCTCTCTATGATTGCTAGCTGTTGGGATGGGGAAACATGGTGTGCGACGGGTTCGTTGTGTTGTCCGCTTTCATTCAGGGATTATTGTTGACTGTTCTGATCGGCTCTGCGGGACAGAAAATGATGTCAAGTTAAAGTTCCTGAACCGGAACTAGGTATTTTTTGTTTATTTGAACCCTTCATACCTATTAGTGACCGCAATCCTTTAATCACCGTTAGTTCATTCCAAGCCGAACATGAAGCCCTAAAACGTAAATTATCCGCATTATTTGAAATACACCGGATCAAAACATTGCTGATCTCCCATATTTCAGGCAGCCGCGGCGCACCTTCCCTCACTTCCACCTCTTCCATCCACCTCTTTCAACTTTCGTCTTTTATGTCACAAACTAGCTCCCAAGGCGACAGCCCGCCTTCTGAAGTAGCGGCCTTGAAGAGGCGGCTGGCTGTTTTAGAGGCACAAAATGCAGAACTCCGCAAACAGCCGGTGGAAGAGAAAAGGTGCGTAAGATCAGCTAGCATTTGGTTATCCTTTTGAGCCATTGATTTGACAGTGAACGCCTTCATCTGGAGGGTCGGGTGATCCGCCGACTCGTCTGCCTTACTGAACGTGTTGAAGATCTCATCACAGAGTTTGATAGACGTGTGATGCTAGGTATCGACTCAGATGATGATACTAGCTTGAACGACTCCGAGTAGGTCCCTTCGCATGTACATTTACTTGCGCTACTTATGTCCACTAGGGACGACAGGAGGTACAGATCGTACAAGAAGTTGGCCACTTGGTGTCCAACTGTTCGTAAGATTGTATACTCCGAGGTTGAGAACAGGGAGCTCTCTTATATATACAGCAAGGTGAGACTTACAGACCCCTTGGTGACGAGGCTAATTGACACTATTCATAGTTAAATAAAGGTGCTGATGGAGCAAGGGGTGACGATACGACACGGCTCAAAGTTGTTGTTGCCTCATGGTTGATGCAACAAACCCCACATCCGACCCCCATCATCCATGGGCAGAACAAATTGGGTCGCGGATTTAATAACGATGCAACTGGACGGCTCATATGCCCCGTCGATTACGACTGGAATGATCCAGTGTAAGTTTTGTCTACTTCACAACGTCTTTGCTGACCAACGAGGTAGCGTCCAACAAAGTATCAGGGATTATCACCCTGATTATCGTGTTACGGCTCACTCCTGGCCTTCTTTTTTATATAAGGATGAAACATATGACCCACTGAAACCTACAGATGGTTTATTCAAAGGGCAATTCCTTTTAAAGGTACGTTTCATTAGGATGAAGGATCATCTACTGAGGTCGCTTGTAGACATTCAAATACATCTTCACGTCTCCCACTTCTGCAGAGATGGACGAGCAAGAGCAGCTCAGCCCGGAAGTACTTTCAACGCAGGGTCGTCCAAAGCAACGAAGGACTGATGGCGAACGCCGCACTCGTTCCAACGTGGCTGGGCTGTTGAACATGAAATCAGTCCAACCAAGGTCGATCGCATACGCAGCTGTGCAGGTAAGTATGACGGACTTTTTATCAATGCACTGCTGATGCAGGCCATTTAGCTTAGGTTTGCTTTATCTAGCACGGGATCATGGCGTATTGTAGATGACGAGTTCAACCATCAAGAGTTCTACGACAATATCGTTGACTTCCTTGAGCTTGCCGTGACATCAGATGCAGCTAAGGAAGTAGAAGACCTCTTACTTTGGTGGAACCGGTGAATTATTGTATATAGCTGTAACCGTCTAACGCTGTTCTAATTATACTGTAATATTCAATAGCAAGGTTTTCGGACGCAAGCATGTGTCCACCTATCAGCCCCAAAGAGTTGAACAACTGTCCGTCGCTCGGTGTTCGGCCAGACATTAGCTCAGCTTTTGCAGACTAGATTATGCTCGTTGTTTGACAGTTCAGTCGAAGGTTGGCGCTGTATTATATTAGTGTGTACTGTTGATACGTATGAGCAAACATTTTGTGTTGTCGAGTATCCAAATGACAAGTGTGCCGTGATTTTGATTTTTAACGGAATTTTGCTGTATTTTACCCGTTGCATATGTAGGAGATTCAGCAATATAAAATTGGTAATATAGTATCTAATGGCCATTCATTCGCTGCGTCTCCATGATTTGTTCGCACTGAGAAATGATACCTTTATTACAATTATGAGGCTGTCACCTATCTATGGTACAGGTAGCGCCAGATACTATATTTCTTTAATATCTGCGAAACAATCCTTTGCACGCTTGAAATGTTGTACAGCAGACTCTCTTTTAAACAATTTTCATTCATATAAGTGCAGGTCAACTTGACCTACTTTGCCATCAAGATAACATAGAATCTTTGATGACAATCAGACGTTCTAGTCTCACAGGTTTATTAAGTCAGGAAGATGACAAATATCAAAGCACGATTCACTTGTGTACCAATGCTAGCACGAAGATTGATACGGAAAATGTAGGCGCGACTGGTAATTACCTTGCACATTGGTCACAAAATGATTTGTGTTAGTTATCAATTGTATACTCATAAATATGTAGCACAACTAGTAATTGAATCGCGATGTTTCAAAATTGTCCTGTATACACTTATCAGACATGGTTATCGATGAGGTTTTGTAGCACAACAACGAAGTTCATGTCATTGATGCCGTACACCAATCCCTCTGACTTTCCTTGATCATGTGGGATAGCGTTAAATATGCATAAATGACTTGATATGAAAAACAACCCTGGTACTTCTGTCTATCTATCATACAGATTAGACATTGAATGCACTCTCATAGACGAGCTGCATGAACAACCACAATGCTCTAAAGTCTACATACTGCCTGGTGTAAACCTATTTTGCACACCTGTGAGTCAGATTCAATGTATTAATAATCGCAGTTGTGCAACTACCACCAAATATAGATCCGTGTGACAGTCATGGGTAATAGAGGATAGCGTTTTAAGGGCATAAATGACTAGATAGTCTGCGCTGCCACATTTTAGCCAAATATGAACATTATATACATGATAATGTGTATATAAAGGTTGATAGGGAATCTTGGTTTTCAGTGATGTTTCAATGAGGGAGTTCAGAGGCCGGCCTCCAGACTTAATAGCCATTGTGTAGAGTTTACAGTACCTCAATTCACGCTATCATATACTAATCTAACACTGTATAGTACATCCTTTACTGCTCCCACGGTCTCGAGTTCTGCCACATTTTGCCTTGGAGGTTCTGCCATCTGCCTGGCAGTGCCAGTTCTGCCCTGCCACGTGGCAGAATGGCAGAGTTCTGCCCACAACACTAGCTGGGATGGGGATGCTGATGTAGTGAGGTGGACAGTTAGTGGTATCGTCGAAGCGCCCGCGCTGAGCATAAAACCCAGCTTATCCTAATTCTAACACCGCAAAAATATGGCCAGTAGGTTTCAAACCAACTGTCAATTGACGAGAGCAACAGAGTTTGACCCTGTTGCGGTAACCACTTGGCCAAGACTAGTTGGACGGACCTCTGCGGAAACCATTCAAGAGTCAAGATCAAGGTGTGTTCCAATAGAAAGAAGGCTGTTATTATGGGGGAAGTTTCGAACCTGCGAAGTCCAAGAGAAACAGATTTGGAGTCTGTTGTAGTAACCGCTTGCCTAAGACCAGTTCATATCCATGACCGTTCGAACGATGAACATTCATGAGTGAATGTGAAAAAGAAAATTGTTGGCAGGTTTGATAAATTTCATACCTGGCTATAAGACCAGGACCTGCAGAGAACCACCCATGAGTGAATTTCAAGGCTTGATCCGATAGCACAAAAAATATTGTCATCGGCAGGTTTTGAGCCCGCACAGCACATCCAAGAGACAGAACTAGATTCTGTCGTGGTAACCATTTTGGCCAGGACGAAGTTGGGACGTACCTCCTAGGAAATCATCCATGAGCGAACCTTCAAGCTCAAGGCGTGTTTCAATAGAAAAAAACCTATCAATAGGCAAGTTTCGAACTTGCACAATCAAGAGAAACAGATTTCGATTCTGTTATTCTAACCACTTAGCTAAGACCAATTAGAGGTTACTCCAACGAAACCGTTGAACCATGAGTGAATGTTAAGGTGGCGCACCGAGATCATGACGATTCCATGGACGGATGAGTAAGAAGTGGGCCTTTCAGGCCAGAATTGAACTAGCGTGTCTGTCGTTGTGATTTCTACATCTTGGAGTCCATCCGCCGTGATGATGCAAGGCAGTTGCGGTCTGCAGCTGCATCAGCAAACATGACCACTAAGAAGTTGTCACGGTGAACGCAGAACTCAAGTGCACAACATGAAATTTAACATTTTCAATGTATCCTTTGAGTGATCAATTGAACGGGAATCACGCCATGTGCAAGGCATCTGAGATGCTGAGCTAAGTACTGTTTTCGTACTACCTACTATCTGTTGGTTTTCTGAGCTAGCCGAGGTACGAGGCTAGCGCAGAATTGAGTCTACGATTGAGTAAGCGATGTGGCGCATTCCTTTCTTGTTCTCGACCCACGTTGATAGACAACTGCACATCATACAATACCAGCGTTCTCATATCTTTAAGCTACCATTCGTCGTTCTTTGCATACTTTATCAATCACAATGCCAATCCTTGCAGAAGATCCAAATGCAGCTATTCTCCCAGACTTCGAAGCAGACAAATACATCCAAGCTCGTGCTCAAATCATTAACGACGTAATAGATGACCGACAAGCTGCTCAAATATTAGCCAACCTCTGGCACATTCAAAACGACGCAGATAAACGCCGCTGGGCTGATAGGATCCAAGAAGAAGCCCGAGCAGCTGAAGAAGCTCATAGACAAGCTACTGAAGCTGAAAATCAGCGTCGCCAAGCCCAGTTAGCGGAACAAGAAGCAGCAATCTCTGAGGAAAGGAAAAAGAACAAGTCTAAGTACGCGCCAATCCGCAACGCAGATGTTCCGTCCAATCCAGTCATTCTACCCTGCCAATACGCTGTACGAAAGATGAAATCTGGCGACTATTGCGAACTGTTTTACTTCACTAACAATGGCCTCGAGGAAGCGTCGAGAAGCATGTTCACAGCTGATGAAGATGCCCTCGTAATGCTACCAACTGTGGATGGGCTCCACAAATGGATCCCTGCAGGATCCGCGCGAGATCCCAAAGCTCAAATAATTAAAGATGAAAATCTTACCTGGGAACAATTTAACGAAGCCGCCCCCCGCATGATTGCATTAATGAAAGAGAATGACTGGCCAGACGACAGGGTAGACATGCACATATCCTTCTGGTCAGCCCTTCAAAATCACCGCTGGAGACATGACTTCAACACTCATAAGCAGCGAGTGCTACTACTGTACCAAGCCCAACAGCGAAGACGCTGGCACCTTGCTGTGGGTAGCTCAAATAGCTGGAGCTTGGCGAGAATCAATCAAGAACTGCTTGATGAAGCGCGCGAAGAGATTTTTAATCAATTTAGAATTCAACAACTCTCATCCCAGGTGCGTACGAAATTTCTTTAAGCAATGAATTGCACTGACTAATACCCTCATCCTCCCAACTACCTGCGATCGTCGCACAACTCACTTCTACCCTGGCATAACGTCCAAATCCAACCCGTGGACACAACGTTCCACTACCCACGCACCTATGCACCCTGACCAATCACAGTCACTATCCCCTGCCAAACATGGCATCAAAAACAAAATGGGATCCTTAAACCCCACCCGGCCCAAACGCATGCCAAACCCCCCCCCCCCCCTGCTTACCTCCACTCTCGCACCCTGGCAATAAACCTCTAATGGGTAACACTGCAGATCGCAACCCTTTCCCAACCACGCTCTTTAACGACCCCATTAGTCAACAAGAACCAGAACAACCATGCACGTTCCTTTAGCTCGCAAAAGTGCTCCCCCCCCACATCTCCCGATAACAAACCAAACAAAAAACCCAGGACATTTCAGGACCCCAACGCTCCCTTCCCATGTTGTGCAGTGTGCCTCGGACGCAACTCGCATCGCGTCATTGAATGCAACGCCACCCTTACCTGGGACAGAAAACACGACACCGTATCCGAGCGCATCCACAAGGCGCTATGGACCAAAGACGGAAAGCAGTTATGCACTGCCTGGCAAAGAGAGGAAGGCTGCGACAGCACCAAACACAACAATCATCACACCTGCTCAGGGTGTGGAGCCACCACTCACGGAGCCCAGAGCTGTCCTCGAGCTCAGAAAGCGTAACCCCACCACCCCCTACAGAGCAGACAACTGGGACAAGATCCTGAAAGCTGCTGGTCTCCTCCTGCGGTTTGCTAAAGTCCCTGAAGGCATTCGTTCAGGTTTTATATTAAATTTTCCCACTATTACCGTTACCCAAGCCCCCGCTAATAGCCAATCTGTCGATAAGTATAAAGATAAACTCGATGCTATCATACGAGAAGAAATCAAAAAATCACGCTACATAGGCCCATTTTCACACCAGACCCTTAATAGCCTCTTAGGACCTTTCCAAACCTCTCCATTGTCCATTATCCCTAAACTGTACAAACCAGACAAATTTAGACTAATTCAAAATTTCTCCTTCCCTCGCTCTCACCACACCGAGTTTCTTAATGCATCAATCAATTTGCACATTAATGCTAACGATTTCCCTACCACCTGGGGAAAATTCTCAGTTATTTATCTAATAATCTCTAGACTACCCCCAGGCTCAGAAGCAGCTACTAGAGACGTAGCAGAAGCTTACCGCACCATTCCCCTCCACCCATCCCAATGGCCAGCAGCCATAGTTCGCGCATCAAGCAACGAATTTTACGTGGACACTTGCACGGCTTTTGGAGCCACCCCCTCCGCAGGTGCTTACGGACACGTTGCAGATGCAGGTGCTGAGATTTTCCGTTACCGAGGCATCGGTCCTCTAGACAAATGGGCCGACGATCATATATTTTTCAGAATTCGTAAAATATTTCTAGAAGAATACAATCGCAACCGCTCAGAATGGAACCGAGAAATAGCTAAACAAGGAATGATCCAAACGGGGAGTCGATTATGGTTCGAAGGCAATACCCTAGGCAACAGGTCAATGGAAGAGTTCAGCGAAGACTGCTCCCAGCCCATACAGGACCTTTCCAGCAACTCTCCGAGATCCGAGCACGATGCGTTATTTTGCCATAACATCCAGGACATCAACGACACCTCCCTCGAGCTAGGCATTTTCTGGAAGCTAGACAAAGACCAGCTATTCGCCTTATCTACCATATACATCGGTTTTTTGTGGGACTTAGACAAACGCGTGGTCTCCTTAAGTCAACCAAAAGTAGATAAATATCTTCTAGCCATACACACCTGGAGGAAGAAGCGCACACACGTGCTCCAGGAGGCCCTAGAACTATACGGAAAACTGATCCACGCCTGCACAGCTGCCAAAAGAGGCAGAGCTTACCTCACAAGCCTCGAGCGAACCATCACCATCCTTCAAAAGAAACCTCTACTACCCCAACGTCCAGACAAGGAAACTGAACCAGACCTACTCTGGTGGTCAAACCTACTCCAAGCAGGAGGTGTTGCACACCCTATAATCCCCCCCTCCACATTCTCAGTCCCGTTTGCATTCTCGGACGCGAGCTCGAGTGTAGGCATCGGCATCGTCATAGGTGACAAGTGGCGTGCCTGGAGACTCATACCAGGCTGGCAAACGGAAGGCAATGGAAAACGAGATATCGCCTGGGCAGAAGCCATCGGCTTTGAATTGCTGGTCTACACCATCGCTGCTCTCCCTAACACTAGCAGCCACATTATCCTCTATGGTGACAACACCAGTATCATTGAAGGATGGTGGAGGGGAAGCAGTAAGAACAGAGCGGTTAACGGAGTATTCAAGCGTATCCACGAATTCTTGCATAATCTACCCAGACATCTCGAAATCCATACAGAATACGTCCCTAGCAAGTCGAACCCAGCAGATGGCCCCTCCAGGGGAATATATGGGCCAGAACACCTTCTACTTCCTCCCATCGACATTCCTTTTGAAGCCAGAAACCTCGTCGTCGATGCGTCTTCCCCCCTCACCCCCACAGAGCTCCGCCTTCTCCGTAACGGGCAGTACTCTGCTCCAGCAGCCAAGATTATCAACCGCACCCTCATCCGACAACAAGCATTTGAAAGATCCAGAGCATCATGCGCTGAAGACGATTGAATCATCTTCAACGCGCTTACAGAGTGAAGGACCAGTACCGCATCCCCGGTTCAGTGCTCCCCTCCCATCCTCATTCACACCCAGATCCAACAGCTCTACCCCTCAGCGCTACAAGTCAGGTTTAATTCCCCTACCATCACCACTAAGACCTCACTGTTTGGCGTGCGAGAGACTTCAGAAATGGAGACCGATTGGAGGAAGCACCCAATCCCTGGCAGCATCACCTAGTACAGACGTCGGGAAAGTGAATATCTCGGACGAACAGCTCGACCGTATCCTAGAAGTGATCGGGTCGTCCTGGGCTATGTCTACCAAAGAAACGTACGGAGCAGGCCTCTTAGTATTTCACGTGTATTGCGACTCGCTTAACATACCAGAGAGTCAATGTTGTCCAGTATCTCCCACACTCCTCATCGCCTTCTTATCGAGTTGCGCCGGCTCATATTCGGGTACAGCGCTAGCCAACTATGCAGCTGGGCTAAAAGCTTGGCACCTACTGCACGGACGCCCATGGATAGTCGACGCCAAAGAGCTTAAAGCCATTCTCGACGGAGCATCAGCATTAGCGCCAGCCGCATCTAAGATCGCTAAACGCAACCCATTCACTGTAGACACATTAGCAATCATTCACGCACATATCAACCATAGCGACCCGCTAGATGTGGCAATATTCGCTTGCATAACCACATCTTTCTATTCCATCGCGAGACTCGGAGAATTCACAGTGCCCTCAATAAAAGCGTTTAATCCAGACAAGCACATAACTCGGAGAAATGTCTCAGAAACCAAGGATCGAAATGGACTCACGGTCAAGAAGTTCCATATCCCAAGTACCAAAGCTTCACCTATCGAAGGTGAAGACG